ATTACATTAATTGATAAGCCTGAAACATGCACTTGTCAAGGTTCAGAGGCACATTTTGCAAATATGGCAGTCGCCATCGATCAGCTTAATATAATATATACTTTATTGATCCCAAGTTGGAACATTTGCGTTACATCAGCATGTGTTACAGTTAAATATGCAGTGGTGTTTATTTGTAAATCATTTAGTATAATCACACAAATTCTGTGTTTTATATTCAACAATTCTGTGTTCTTTATTTATTGATTGTTCAATACCGGACAAGGCCGGAGATGAAATATCTACATACATCTTATAAGAGTATAATACATTATGTATAATATCAGTTAAAATAAGTGCTTCAACATAGTTAACATTGCTGGAGGTATGCACAAATATTGATAGATGTCTTGTAATGCACTATTGAGGAACCTGTAGGGTTGGGAACCGAAACTCGGTTCCAGATGAGAACCGATAAGAAAATGCCGGGTACCGGGTACCCATACAAAATACACAATTTCGGTTCTGCTTAACGGTTCCTAAACGCGGTAGACCCTGTATTCCAGCGGGTCCGTCTGCACCGCGGTGCTGCGGTGACCCGGTGGAATACAGGGCGGACCTGGAGAATCACAGAACGGCCGGTCGTCAGCGGGCCGTTGACGGCCGGCTCGGTACGCTGACGGCCGGCACCGCCCTTCATTTTTTTAAACGGCATCATATAAATTGCGCTGACAGGCGACAGAGGTCCACAGTTGCCCCGCAGCGATGCTCCCCCGCCCTCCCGTAGACATTTCACGAGCTCAGTCACTTCATAACACCAAAGATAGGTCGCGGTAAACACTCTGAAGTGAGGCTCCACTACACTAAAAAAGAAAAAGAAAAGGCAAAGTGTAATGCCTGTTAATAGCTATTCACAGGCATAGCTCAGTTAAAATAAAGCACAGCTATTGTGCAATACATTTGTATTGCATGTATATTTTTTAGTAACAATTTCAGTTAAAGCTTTTAAGAATAAATATATTTTTGTTATCTAAACGTTTGACCTCTTTATTTTACAATTTTGGAATCGAAACGGGGAATCGATAAGAACCGGAATCGATAAGCAGAACCGGAATCGAAATCGGAATCGATACATTTCAAACGATACCCATCCCTAGGAACCTGCGACCCAAGTTTTTCATTCAATGCATAACTACACCATAGTTGTGTAGGCCTATATGATATGTCAATAAACCTTAGAAAATCTTGAAATCTTGAAAGGGATGTGCAAAATAGTCATTATATACAGTCTTTAATGAACTATTAGTAGAGAATAACGAGTAATGAATATACTTTATAGGGATCCTATTAATATCTAATAATAAAAATAATGAAATGCAATAACATGCTTTAACCACTAGGTGTCCCTTTATATCAGCTGTGCACCTTTATGGTGTAAATACAGCCTATCTACCAATTGGATCAAATATAAAAGTCAGCCGAATTAGTGTTGATACTGCAAGGAGACGTATTGTGTGAAAAGAAATGTAAGATGTTGTTTAATGGCTGATATATTTATGATCCACGTCACGTTTTCAGTTCCTCATGTTTGTCTAGAAGTCTTCTCATCAGGGCTCTATAAATACAGAACTACGGCAGATATGTAATATTTAATGCAGCCGAACCGTGTATTACAATGCCGGTATGTGATGACTTTCAAAGAGAAAAGCAAGCACACTCGGAATAAAGTATTATTTTTTTTTTTTTAAATGTTTTCGGTCTGTTTCCGGTATTTGTTAATGACGATGTGCTGTGAGATGTGAGACTGGAATTGCACAGGGGAAAATAACGTAGGCTATCTTTAGATGCGGATTTTGTTAACTAATATGTTTTCGCTGTGGACCAACACTATACATTGACGGGGAAGGGGGGTAGCAATAAAGATAACACCATTAAACAGTTACACAACATAACAGAAATAATATCGATAGCAGCGTCCCTAGCAACCACCTTGGTAACAATGAAAACGTTATGGACGCAATTTCCTGAAGTAATCTTCGTAATAACTAGCAAACTAAAGATCCTGTACATCCACTGCACACATAATCTGAAATAACAACTCATATTTCTCGCATCAAATGACATCAAAACGCATTTTAATGGCCAAACTAACTTTAAAATAGGCCTTTTCCACCGAGAATAAAATGAAGTTCGGCCATTTTTTTTTTCTGCAGGGAGAAATTTGAAGATCACGTGACGTCAAACAGAGCACATGGTGTAGTCCAAACGATAGCTGGGGATTCTGGGTAGTGTAGTGTCTTCTGCCATCCTTTACTCCGAAAAAATATATGTTTCTCCGAATCGAAGGGGAAAAATACAAAAGCATTGCACACAATTTAAACCAATCAATGTTGTGTAATTACAAGGATAATCTGGTGTTTTTTAGTCGATGAGTAGTGCAGATATCACTGTAAAATCAATCGACAGTAAGGGGAATACTTACTTCCGGGTGTACAATTCTCCGTTATCCAATGAGAATGGACGATCACATTGCCTTTAAGGGCAGCCGACACAAACGAATGCCGTGCTTCCATGAGCGTCCATAGAAGCATATGGACATCCCGGAAAGCTGAAAATGGACGCTAAGGGCCCCCCCCCTTGCGTTGAAAATGGACGCTAAGGCCCCCCCCCTTGCGTTGGAAAAAGCCGAGAGGGGACTTGACATAACGTCAACATAGGCCGACCTGGGAGTGAGGATGTGTTGCAACAGAAGCTAAAGTGAGTTTGAGGTACTGGAATTCATTATTTGTTGAGTTTGTTTTGTCCTTTAATATTGCTTTGACTGAAGAGCCCTTGAGCAAGACCCTGATCCCACTATCTGATGCTCTGAGAGGTGGCGAACAAAAACAAACTTAAGGATTTAACCTTTAGTTAGTTTGGATTAAATTAGATGTTGAATTGTCCATATTAATGTTAAAATATGAAATAGAAATGTGTAAAGCCTGTGTTTTATTGTTAATGCTATAAAACAACGTTTAATCATGTTGAGTTTTCTTGATAGAAAATTATATATATTGTTTTATTTGCATCTTTACTGCCTTTTCATTGATAAATGTTCTATTTAAGTCTCAGGAGAATATTACCGCTATATTAAGATAGAGATCACATGAAGAAGGTATTTCAAGGTATCTGAAGAAGTATTTTAAAAACTGGAGAGTTGAGGTGCGTTTTCAGGTATTCATTCCCTAAGAATCTCATATAGCAAAACACATCTATAAAGGAGAAAAGTTGGTAAAAACTGAAGAAGACGTGAATGGAAAAAATCTAATTTTTAGCAAGCCGTCATTATTTTGACTAACAGACAGAAAACAATGTGTAGATAGATTGTTAGTTACAAAATAAACATGTAACAATACGTTTTCCTTCCCCATTGGAAATTACATTGCATTATTATTAACACACATTCTGTATAGTATACACAAACTCACACTCACACACACACACAAACACACACACACACACACACTGGCTGCTCGATTATGGCAAAAATCATAATCTCGATTATTTGGGTCAATAATTGATATCACGATTATTAAAAACGATTATCCAAAACATCTATTTATTGAAAAGAAAAATTGGAACAGTATGTTTTTAACAGTTGATTACCCTGAACTTTAAGTATAATTCAACTGAAAAACAAAAACAAAAAAATAGTTGTAATTATGTTGTTTTCATAATCGTTGCAAGCCAAAATCGTAATTGCGATTTAAAATACGATTTAATTGAGCAGCCCTAACACACACACACACACACACACACTCACAGACTCACCTGCAGTGTGTGGTGTTTCAGGTTCCGGCCCCGCTCCTATCAGCCTCTTGTGATATTAATATAGAAAATGGAGGCTCTCTCATACATGCCACTTTTGAAGCGCAGCTCGTTAATCTCTGCAAATGGGCTTTCCTCTGTGCCATTAATAATTTAAAAGTGACCGAAAACCATTAAGGAAATTAACTACCAAGTGCCGGCAGGGAGTCTGTGGGGGTAGATTAAGAAATGTGACTGTACTCATTTGGACTTTACTATTAGTTCTGATTTGTTATGACTTTCCAAGAAGAAGTGTTCAGTTAGTTTCTGATATGGTCACTCAGGGAATATACTATTGTTTTATAGCTGACACACTTTAGGATCTCCTGCAAAAATCCCTGACCCTGTTACACTTATGACTATATTTTATTGATTATTTTATATTATATTGGTTTAGACTAAATCAGATTAGATACATTAAGGTTAGATAACATTTGATGTACTTTAGCGATCTGAAATTGGTAAAATTATTTTTGTTTAAACTGCAGCAGTTTAACTATGAGTTAAAAAATAAACAGTAAATATATACATCCACAGTGGAAATATATATCTATAGACGGTCTTTAGAATACCCAAAATAAAATATAGAATTCGCCATGATAGACTAACCTACTACTTATTACTGATTCAAACGAGCCGTCTTATGCTCATTTTCAGGTTTTTTATTTACATTATGTGCCTCTACTGTTAACATGCTTTAATGTTCAAAAGTGATTTAATGGGTTGGAGCACTAGCCAATAGAAGCGTGAGTGTTATATAGTGATGTCACTATGTAACAGAAGTAAACAAAGGAGTCCAATGGAGGCGTTTCAGACGGGGGGAGTGTGTGGGAGAGAAACACCCTCTCGACGGAACACAGGGATTTTAGCCTTAGCAGACCATTAAATACACAACAACATATAGGAAAAGGAAAAGCCCAGAAGGCATAATAGGGCCCCTTTTAGGATAATTTACAATATGCAAAGTAGTTGCAATGTTTTGAAGTTCAATTGAAATGCAATGGGGTAGAGTGTGAGTACAATTTGTACTTATTTTTCAGGGATATTGAAAGGAAACACAGTGGTATAAAACAAACGACGAAAACTATGAAGCTATGTCTTCTCTGGTAGCCTGAGCTGAGGTGTTTTTCGAGGGTTTTTGCTGTGGATTATTTTTGCTCCTGCTCCTCGTCCAGGTTGCCCCTATGACGCGGAGGTCAGGGAGGTGAGTGCCGGCTCTCTGGTGCTGCTGTGGGCCGCCCCGCTGTACCAAGGTCAGGGTCCCGTCACCGGATACTTCCTGGAAATCAGCGAGGGCGACCAATCAGACAACTGGACTACTGTGAACGAAAAGCCGATCACTGACACACATTACAAGGTGAGTGAAGCTAGAGGAAAGAGGGATTTAGCCCACACTCTTGTTTTCTTCCAATTAATGTATTTTACAAGAATATAGACCACTACCAACACATAAAGTAAGAACTTCCTCAGGTGATGCTGTACAAATAGTTTTAACAAGCTTCATGTCAAGATAACAACTTTTTAAATCAGGATGTGTCTATTATCTGATCCAGGAATGTAAAGATATTCCTGTATTGACGATAACTCTAGTGTATAAATGAAAATCATTTAATGTTATATAAATACACATAGGATCATTTTATGAAAATAATTCAGCCTCTCTTGAATCATATCTGTTTCAGTTTCTTCCCTAACAACTCACACACACATTTGTATAATCCATTACACAAAGTTAAAGATGATTTTTGACAGATAGCATTACAATTCATTTCTTGAGGAATCGTAAAAATATTGTTATGTATTTTTCTGACATAAAAAGGTTGTATTGCTAATCTGATATTGTGACAGCCCTCATCCGATCTAACTCTGATCTAAGTGTATTTAATAATTGTATGAGCAATTTTATTATTGTTATAACTCTAAAAATCCAGCCTGCTCCAGTATTTCATTCCCTTCTGTATTTGTGGGTCCAAATGCTGAAATAGCCAAGATACTTTATGACAATAGTGTGTAAATATTTGATGTGTTTCTTATGACTTCCAGGTCTCAGGTCTTCAGGAGGGTCACACCTACCGTCTCCGTGTGGCGGCTGTCAATCAGGCTGGAGTCGGTCCCGCCTCCCTTCCCACCGAGCCGGTCACAGCTCACACCACAGGTCAGCCGTCATGCCTCCAGAAAAACTAATATTATAATATATATTTGAAAAAAATCCCCCTGCCAGGCTTGTTGGAGGCTCTGGACCTTGGATATGATATATATAATAGGAAAAGCAGCCACTCTCCAGTCTGTGGAGAAGTTATTTATTACGACAAGCTTTAAGGGACCTCTAGTATCCTCAATATACACATACAGCATGATAAGTGCCTTTAAAGGATTAGGTTAACTCATATTAGCCTTCTAGCAGAGGGTTTAGTGGGAAGAGAGATACTCATTCTCATGTATGTCTGTTGAATATGAAACTGGATGATGAGACAGTTAGCTTAGCTTAGCATAAAGACTGGAAACAAAGGGAAACTGAATCTGTCCAAAGACTTCTGGCTCCAGCTTTATATGCAGTGGCGACTGGTCATGCACAGCCCCCTCCTAGTGTCAGCAGAAAGTAATTCAAATAACAATTACAAAAAAATGCAAATAAATGCAAAAAACATACATCTTAAAATATATGTTAAGATCATGTTTAATCATCTGATTCGTCTGTACATTGCTGTTTTAGTTTGTGTTCTTCTAATTAGTGTCTACAGTGTGCCTATTGAGCCGTTTTGAGCGACGTGGGTCAAGCCCTGATCTAGCCCCTCTCTCTCACTGTCAAAGTGAACCTGTACTGTAAAAACGACACTGCGCATGCTTGCATACCTACCAAACGTCATATCATAATTCAGAGAGCTGATTGGCTGTAAGTACGTGTGCCGTGAAAATAGTACATAGTTGTTTGTAAAGAGACGAGAGAGAGCAGCGTATAGCGATTAAAATCAGTAAAACTGAAAGAAAATGAATGACGTTGACCATCTACTTCAGCTTTGGTAAGTTCATTTTATGTCATCTTTTATTGATCTTCTGTGTTTTGCCTATAGGCTATTGCTCTGCTGGATCGATTGATATTGTGACCTTGAAGCTTATATATACACATCTAAGTTGTTTGTGTCCCACCACTTTTGTACATATAAAAACGCCACTGTTTATATGTATCGGACAAACGTAGAGTGATTTGAATTTAATTACGTAACTCGTTGCAAGGAAGCAAGTTTCCCAAAATGTCAAACTATAAACTTCCTATGTCCATCCGAACATTGAGAAAATTGGTTGTAACCAGAGGAGCTGTAGCAAAGAGACATTTTCATCATAGATCATTTTAAACAAAATGCAACCATTGGAATCATTTTATCAAAAATATATTCAAAATATGAATCAGATTTTGTTCACAATGCAGCCATATTCACCCACCCTTTCATCCTTTAGGTGCAAAAAACATCGAGATTGGAGTGGACGACGATGGTTTCATATTTCTGGGCTACGAGGCTGAGGGGACGGACGAGGAGAGCAAGTTTCTGTGGAACAAAAACTACACCGAGCCCATTGATGCCCAAAGAGCTCAGGCAGAAAACACGAAGTGCGGGTAAGGCATACGTGCAGCATGGACTGTACGTCTTTGCTTGTTTCAATCCAAAACATCTTTGGCAGTAGGCAAGAACAATAGAGGATGTTTAGAAGAGCTCATTCAAGTTGTCAGAAATGATTTTTACCCTGCAACAATGAATGCCTTGACTTTTTCGGATTTTGTAGATATTTTTAAACAGAGTTGGGATAATGTTTTGCATGTCAGAAGTACAGTATGTCTCAAGTCTTTGCATCAAGTCCCAAGACAAGACTACAAAGTCACAAGTCCTAAACATTGAGTAAAGAGTCCTAAAACAACATCTGAAATGTGTCGTTTTCAAGTCTTTGGTGTTAAAGTCCAAGTGAAGTTGCAATAAAGTAATATTTGTCCAAAGTCATCAAATGTGTGACTCTAGTCTGAAAACTGTCCACACCTTAGGTTTTTAGATTCAAAATGGACCAGATCAATTGTAGCTTCTCTGTAAAGCACTTTTTTTAAACTGTGTGACCCCAACTAAAGGCCTGTCTCTTTTAAGTTTCCCATTTCTTAGTTTTAGGGAAGCACGCCTGCCTACTGTCTTGCTTATTGACTTCTTGTTAAACAATACCTCAACATTTTTAGCTGGATGAAAGACATAAGGACAGAAAGACAGCTGTTATCACATACCAGCACCTACATCACGGTGCTGAGGACTGACACATAAACAAGAATCCCAAGCTCCTCCATAGACCCCTGAGTCTGTCCTTCAATGTGTCCCTCAGGTCTGTCCTCACCTTCTCAGACCCCTCTGAGGAGGATCTGGGTCTCTACACCGTGGAGACCAGCGACAACCCAGACCTGTCGTCCAGCTATGACTTCACGGCTGAAGGTAAACTACAGGAGAGCAGAAGGTTAAACCGTCTTGTCTAATTCTCAACTTTTCCTCAGGCACATCGACAATAACAGTTCAGCATCAGTTGTGGCAGCATGAAGAGCATTGGACTTTTAATTTGAAGGGTTATCAAGTTTTTCCCTCAAGCAAATAATTATGCCTCTCACAGCCACTTCCACAAGGTCACTGGTTTAACAAAGCGTAACGATCTCATGTTCAGCTCCTGTCAACATTTAATTAACCTTCAGCTGCTGTTTTATTCTCTGCAGACCTTGAGAGACTCAAAGAACTCAGCTGGCAAGTCAGAAATCCACGTACGTACCAAAGACATTGCACTGTTTCACAGAGAACGATGATCCGCTGATGTGTAAAATACATATATTTAATTTCAAAGGTAGATCTTAAGCTGGTATCAGTCATTTTCTTCATTAAACTTGATAAATGTTCAGAATTTGGTAACGGTTGACATGTAAATAGAGCTAATTCGAACACATGGTGTACATACAAAGCTAGAGCACGTCCTGTGATGTTTTGTGTTTGCTGACAGTGATAGATCTGAAGTCGGGCTGGCAGGTGGAGGTTTCTGAGAAAGGTGAAGTTCGTCTCTGGCTTCAGACTGAGAGCCTGAGTGATGAGGCTGAGCTGCGTCTCATCTTCAACGACAAAGAAATCAGCAGCTCTCCGGTAGGAAACGCTGTGTTGGTGTTCCTGCAATACTGGAAGTATGAGCATGAATCTAACCTCGTCAGGATTGAGATTTGATATCCACAGTTCTTTAAAACAAATCGTACTTTAAAGTATTTTGGGATAAAGACACAGTTATGCTTATATTCTAGTGTTTCTTTACTTCAATGAGAAAATGGCAGAATCCTTTACCAGTAGTTTGATGATTGATATTTAAAACGATTGTACAAGATGTATGTGAGGTCCATCCTGCCTCGCTAAACCATAACTTAAGCAAATCATGTCACCACTGCAAAAGGGTTCAAGTTTGCGAGATACTCAAGGTTAAGTTAAAGGGAGTTACGCGGCGTTAAACACTGGTTCTTACATTTCCCATGAGTTGTTAGCAGTTCCAGAAACTTGACATTTTCTGGTAATCTTCTCAGATGGTTGTATTAACATACATCTTTCAGGCTCAAAGAGTTCCAACTCTCCAACATATGTAAAAACAAAAACAAAGATGTCCCCAAAAAATAAACACAGAGATATTTGGTGTCACATAACTAATTTATTCCTTTTTACTTAATGATTAAGCATCTTACAACTCCTCAAGTTTCTTCAGTTGTGATCTTTTGGACTAAACTACCTTTTATAAATGACGGCTATTTGAATCTCAGTGCTTCCTCCACCGTAATAAAATGAAATTCAGTCTGAAAATCTTCCCTTTTTGAAGGTTTAAATATGTAATAAAATATCCAGTCAGCTATTTAATGTGCAGCTCTAAAGTCTGTCTATTTAGTGTGGAAAGCATTTAAATCACAGATGTTCTGCAACTTTACCAGGATACATTAAATTAGTGTGCACCTGCATGCAGCTGCGATTATGACAAGTCACTATGAATCAAAAACAGCAATTAGTGTTGTGATAAACTTCCAGGAAGGCAGCTAATGGAGGCTGCCAACGACGATGAAGAGCAGGTGTGCACGGCAGCACAAAGGTCTCGAGACTGAGCTAATAAACAAAGTCTGTGAGACTTGAGGAGCAACATCTGGTGCAAGTGTCCGTTTTGGTTTGATGCCCAAAATGTAAAGGTGGACAGCTTTCTTATTTCGGTAGTAAACTGTATTCCATTATCTAATATTATATTAAATTGATTCTCTATCACTGTAGCAACTGTAGAAATATAAGGAATGATCTGTGAAATGTATTAAGACATATTGATAAAACACAAACTCTTGTATTGTATTTATTTTGCTTCTTTTTCAAGTCGATCTGTTTGTATACTTGCACTAATATGTGTTTCACATATTTCAACAATGACCTCTAAATGCATTTGCTTTCATAAACATCCTCATAAAAGCCTTAGCTATTTGCAACCAAAACAAAAAGCTATTTCACAAACACTCTCACCCAATGACAAAATAATGGAGTGCTGCAGCAAGGGCGGATATGGAGACAGTGATTTCACCTGCCAATTTAAAGGGCGATCGAAACCGAGATGACTGAAAATAAAACAATATAATCATCAAGGAACATAAAGTGATGTGAACAGACCTCTCCAGCATTTGCATGCGTTATGACACAAAGTCAAAAATAATCTTCAATGCTTTCAAGGTTATTGAACCGTGCACTGGTGTGTCCACAGAGAGGAGAGCAAACACAGCACGGTATATTTACAGTGGAGCCACAACTCTGTCAGAAAAATGTGTGTGTGTCTGTGTGCGTGTGTGTCTGTGTTTGCGACTGTTTGTTTGTGCGACTGTTTTATATCCAGAGGCTTCCATTTGGTTTTTATTTATTCCATTATTTCTCCATATCAGAGCTCCATCTGAACAGTACTGATTATGTTATTTCTAAATGAGCACAGCTGAGGATTGCAAATTCAAATAGCCATTTAGCCGATTAGGGCCCTCCGCTTGCCGTACATCACAAATCACATCCGAGGCTTATCAACATTCAGGACACGCACTTCTCTTGATGAATATAAAAGTCATACAAATATGCTTAAAAGCTGCTTCCTGTTTGTTTGTGTGTCTGTGTGTGTTAGGAATGTTAAAGGTCACCTATTGTGCAAAAAAACACTTTTTCATGTCTTTTATACATCACCATGTGTCCCCTCTGTGGAAAGAGATTCTGAAAGTGTCAGGAAGAAAGATTCGCTCACATTTTGTCCTGATCCATTTATATAAAAACCTGTCTGAAAATGAGCTGATCAGATTATGGCCACTTTGTGATGTCATAACGATAGTTTTTTTGGGCTTATGTAACCATTAGCCAATCAGCAACCAAGGTAACCCCCCCCCCCACCTTATCACCTGAATCTCCTCCTAGAGCACCATTGTGTTCTTTCTAACCAATTATATCTCAGAGGGGCGTGGGGAGGGGCTCCTTATTTTCATCTAAAGTAACAGACCCAGAATCAGCACTTTTGAAACAGGGCTGAAACAGAGGGGATTATGAGATGCTTCAACGCATGATCTGTTTGGTATTTGGAGCCAAACACTTCAGAGACATGTTTTGTATATATCTGACACCTATAATATGTTGATGAAAAACAGTATAATAGGGGACCTTTAATATTTGATCTACTCTGTGAACTTCTTCTCTCTTCCGCAGCACCGTAAGATCACCTTCGACAGGGCCAGCGGTCTGGTGGAGGTTCTGTTCGACCAGCTCTCTGCAGAGGACGAGGGCTCGTACACGGCGCAGCTGAAGGACGGCCGCGCCAAGAACCAGTTCACTTTGGTCTTTGTGGATGAAAGTGAGTCCGGCGCCAATAAGCGTCATATTGGTTTTTGTTTAATACCAGAATCATCTGGAAGAGTTTCATTTAAATGTCTGTTAAATCACCATCAGTCACTAAACAAAGTAACACAATGGTGAGTAACTCTCATGATTTTGACGATAGCCTTGATGTTTGGAAAATAAATGTATTGATTTCATGTTAATGATACACATATGATAATATAATGTAAATAATCCACTGGATAATAAATGTTCACTTTTCTAAAGTTATGGATACAGACTCTGCCTCCCCTCACTTTTTTTTTAGTGCAATCAATTTGCCAAAAATTGAGACCAAATACACAAAAAGCTAAGATAATTTGAATGAATTCAGTATTATATGTTGAGGTTATTTTGGAAATAAGAGCCTCATTGGTTCTCCCCATATGAACTGTGTGAATCTACTTGTTTGTAACGCTGTCTGATATTGTTTGTGTCTCTGTCAGAGTTTCGGGAGACGCTGGCCCTGGTTCAGAAAAACCGGCGTGACCATAAGAGAAAGTCTGGTAAAAACCCTCCAAACTTCAGTAACACACTGTGTTGTGGAAATATTTTCCAAGGCCCATAACTTTGACCCAGTGTATCAGTTCAAACTGTCCTGACTGAGCACAGGCACCTGTAACCTTGGCTGCTGTGCTCTCAGTGTTTTGTCTCCCTGCTCCTGCCTGTTGGCGTCAGCTGATAGAGGTGTTATCATTCTATCTTGTTATGCAGCATGTTGATGATGCTCTCTGAACTAGCTAAATACATGGGTCTGGGGTAGAGTTCTTCAGAATTGACGTGGCAACTCTACCGTGGAGTCAGAACCTCTGACTCTTGGACTTGTGATGTGAATCCTCCGGCCGTTAACTCCAAATAAACCATCATGTGTTTGACATCAAAGCTACTGCTCTTCCCGTGTCTCCTTCCTGAGTCGGTGACTCCCAGTGCATAGCTACACAGAAGTTTCCTCTACACACTGTGATAAATAGAATCACCTCTACTAATTGCAATAGCTTTTTGATGTAAAATATAAAGAGACATCTGTTGCATATAGAAAGACAGGAAGCTTTCTGTAACACTGAACTCTGTGTTTTCATGACCTGAGCTCTGAGATGTGATAAGGAGAGTTTTACCACTCTTTTGTGTATATAGGCCAATGTCCCAGTGCCCGCTTGTGCAAACACTCCCTCTCACACCATGTCAAATATTCAAAGTCCACATAAAAGACAGTTTGTCTCTCACCTGCAGACTAACATGATGCAAAACATATTTTATAGAGGGAATTTTGTTCATGTTAATATCAATTGTCCCTCTCTTATTGCAGGCAGCTTCTCCCTGTCAGTACTCTTGTGTACCACACAGCCATAATTGATGTATTATGATGCAAGTGTGATTCATCGGTTGCTCTGAATAAATGATGGTCTGTCGGCCACTGTTTCTAGATGGTTGATCATGTCTTCTGTATTCCCAAGGACCGTATTTCGAGGAAGACTTGTCGTGGAGTGTAAATGAGGATTGTGAACTGGTTATAAAGTGCAAGGTACTTTTTTCAAGAATAAATGTGCTAATTTCCGTATGCAAACTAGCCTAACATCATATTAAGAGCCTGGAACAGTTGATACATCATTCAGAGGCAAGTTAATGTTCTACTTGTAATAATAGATAAATGAATAGTTCGGGGACTTCATGAAGTTGTTTCTGCACCAGTAAACAAACAAGATATAACATTTTAACTAGTGGACTTTAGACCAACAGGTTTTATTACCTTTGATCAGAGCGAGGCTAGCAGTTTCCCCCTGTTTCCAGTCGTTATGCTAAGCTAGGCTAATGGATTGTGGATTCAAGCTACATATTGCATGGTCAGAATAACGAGTGGTGTCTTTTCATCAAGCTTTTGCACAGAAAAGCAAATAAGCACATTTCTCAAATAGAAAAAAAGTTTGTGCTGTTACACAATGTATGATAAACCAGTAATAACAGCAACTATTATAACACTGGTTTGCATTCGTAATGTAGATTTTATACGTACATTACAATCAGTTTAAGATCATTTTTTATTCAGGTATGTTTTTTCCTCCATACACAGGTGACCAATACACACAAGGACACGTCAGTGAAGTGGTTTAAAGAAGGCGTGGCGGTGACGCAAGTCGTGTACGACCAGTCATCAGGAGTCAGCACTCTCACCATCCCACAGGTACCTAAACTGATTCAGCTTTGTTTTCAGACGGAAATATGTGGGAAGTTTAGAGCTCAGGGAAATGTGAGTCAACATTAATAATTTGTAGCTGGTGCAGTGAGAGAAATAAGATGAACACACCGTTGATGTTTACACTTTTTTGTCTTATTCACTATTATTTAGTGTGTATTCCGTTGAATATAAATATGAATTGAAGGTTTTCTCCAGAGGTATCAATATTTCATTTGAGAAGCTATGAATATTTAAAATTTTAAAACAATGCTTGGTTATTCCTCAGGTTACAAAGAAAGAAGCAGGTTCCTACAGAGCGGTGGTGACAGATGGGAGAGGAGAGGATGTCAGCACCTTGGAGTTACTGGATGACGGTGAGACGTGACCTTGTCCCCAGAAAATAGAATGTATTCCTGTGTGGCACAAATTGGCACAAACAGTCCATTCATTATGAAAGTGAGGCGATTGAAGTGCCTCTTTTACCTCGTCCTTAGTATTCAGCTACCTACCTCTAATCTCCGCTTAATTGGTATTTTTATTTACAGAGTATGACCAGCTTCTCCAGCAGCTAAGCAAACAGTGCGGTGAGTTATTCCCAGGTGGAAGCCATACCTTTGTGAAATGTGCCGGAGACTTGTTGTTTTTACAGCAGGTGTTCTGTGTTGGCATGGGGATAATATGACAGAAAGCCATGTTTATTACCTGTGGTGCGTTTGTGCTGTTCCTGAATATTAATGAATTCAAATGAAAAAATAATCAGTTCTTTATCAATAAATCAGCCGTATTACCTTGAATGATTGAAGGAAACGTTTTTATTTGTATTTTGCTCGCATGCATCCAAGTCATCCAGTTGTTGCTCACTGCTTTTTTCGATATTTAAGAAAATATTGCTTTCTGAAACACTTGCTTAAAGGTGGGGTAGGTAATTCACTTCAGAAACACTTTTTGTTATATTCCATGGAATGCTCTTAATATCCCGATAGCAATGAATATTTTAAATGCTTTGACAATAAATCCATTAAAAAAATCATCCGTGGAAGCCGTAGTACTGTAAAAAGCACGACCGGCCCGGCTAAAATAACTGGATGGCCTACCTGCCTGTCAGCCTTCCATCTGTGCACAAACTTATCTCGTGCCCTCATTGGTCATGTGCGCGTTCGTGTGTGTTGGACGAGGGGCTCTGTGAGGAAGTCTGAAGGAAGGGGCAGATTTTTTCGGCTGCATACTTTCAAATTATAGTGCACTCGAGCTGGTTTCTCCATTCTTACCAATAGTCTCATGCTTGCGCAGGTGTGTTACTAGTCCATGATAATGTTTTAAATAGAAAGCAAAAATGTCTGTTTGGGAAGTAGTAAAAATATGACTTGGATTATTCACTTTTTCAAGAATTCAATGTGAGAAATTGACAAAGAGTGGGTCATTGATATGCAAATGATATTTGTTGGGTGACATATTTCTTTAAATTACCAAGGAAACTGAAATGTATGCTAAGTAACTCTGCCTTGTCTCTCCGTCTCTGCAGCATTGTCTGCCAGCCCTCTGAAGATTCAGAGCACTGCTTTAGGTTTCAAGCTCTACTGCTCACTCAAATACTATATAAGCTACATGAAGACCAGTTGGCACCTCAAGTGAGTCCACATGCAGAGCACCTCTCTGACCCGACACCCCATGTGCATCTGCTACAGAGGAGGAAGTTTCCAAACTAAATTCTGACAAACTTTAAGTAAGACCGGAATAGCAATGTTGAGAATCGTTATGTGCAGGAAGGAACACCAGCACCTCCACAGGGAATCAAATGGGAAAAAAGCTGATTTTTGCTTTAGTATCATGCAGTGTAGGCACATTGTTTACTGGAGGGCACAGCATTGCAATGCTGTAACCCTAAAGACAGGAAATGCACACAATATTGAGGCGCTCTATGCCTAACCAGTGTGTGTGCCAACAACACAAACATAGTTTCGGATCAGATCCACACACACTGGCTTGACTGCCGCACATACACACACTCAAATACCAAATAGAGGTATATAAATGTACCCTGACATTTCTCTTCATGATGGCAACGTCTGGAACACCTTTACTGAAGTTCAGCCTCTAAAATCCTTATCAAAGTTCAACTGCTGACAGCTTTAAAAGTTCAGGATCTACAAAATAATCTGTGAATAAGAAGTGGATCATTATGTCTGCCTGCAAATGTTGTTATGTGGCAGCTTGGACCCGGATCTGGACATTTAAACACCTGCTTCATCCTACCTATCTGTCATAATCAAAAACACAGTGCATCATTCTGGCAGCCAAACATACTAGTTAAACTCACAGTACATTTTACGTTTTGTATCCAAAATATCAGACTTAATTTTGGATAAAACTGGATGAGAGATATTTATTACAGAGAAAGAGATAAAGCTGTTCAACTGGACGGATCTTTAGGCAAGGCAAGGCAAGTTTATTTATATAGCACCTTTCAACACAAGGCAATTCAAAGTGCTTTACAAAAAATGAAAGACATTAAGAAAATGGCATTTAAAATCAGTCATTAAAAAGAAAAGCTAATAAAAGAAACATTAAAATAAAAAGTACATGGATAAAAGTTACAGTGCAGTCTAAGATATGAATAGTTCAATTAAAAGCAGCGACAAAAAGAAAAGTCTTCAGCCTGGATTTAAAAGTAGTCAGAGTTGTAGCGGACCTGCAGGTTTCTGGGAGTTTGTTCCAGATATTTGGAGCATAATAACTGAACGCTGCTTTACCACGTTTAGTTCTGACTCTGGGGACAGAAAGCTGACCAGTCCCTGAAGACCTGAGAGATCTGGATGGTTCATAATTTAGCAGGAGGTCAGAAATGTATTTTGGGCCTAAACCATTCAGTGCTTTATAAACCAGCAGCAGTATTTTGAAATCTATTCTTTGACACACAGGAAGCCAGTGTAAAGACTTCAGAACAGGAGTGATGTGATCTACTTTCTTTAGGAACATAAAAGTGTGTATAGCTGCTATGACAAACATTTCATCAAAGAGAAAGATCACATCGGTAGTATTGCAATTATCCGAAGAAGCTACTGTGTTTCTTTTGCCAGGCTTACACCACCACCTGCTGGCAGATTTCAAGATCTGCAAAGAGTGAAACAATTGAAGAAAATCTGCCTATTATGATGCATGACACATTTTCTTTTATCCTTCATAAAATGAGTTTGCAATGAATCCATGTCCCCATATCTAAATGTTCAATTTAAAATAATAAGCTTTCTGAGTTTATGCAGCTGCATCCGTTTACTCTACTCTTACTGAACTATGATGTTGCAGGAAGAATTAATGTCACCGGATAAAAAGAAGGAGTATGTTGATAACAAAACATGTATTTGCTTTCTTCCATGTAGAGAGAAGAGGATTGACCAGGATGCCAGGACAAAGCCTGGCAGCAGCGTGCAGGAAGTCTGGATTGAAATCTGTAACCCGACAGAGAATGATAAAGGGAAATACACGTTGGAGATGTTTGACGGCAAAGAGACACACAAACGATATCTTGACCTATCTGGACAAAGTGGGTGGAGTGTGAAGGATCTAAAGCACACATATGATTTCAGAGGAGATGTTGATTCTTATTTATTCCAACAGTGTTTGCTGATGCCTTGCTGGAGCACCAGAGGTTGAAGTAAGTGCAGTAGTTGGTGCACCTAGCATGGTTTGCTGTGACACTAACAGAGAGCAGTGAGAGGTAACACACTATTAGTTGAAAACACTGAAAGAATCTCAGCACACTGTTATTTCCCCGCACTGTGCCTTGTCGTATTGATCTGTCTCCTTGTTTTCATCCTTCAGGCAAGCGGCCGTGGCTGAGAAAAGTGAGTCCCAGGTTATGTGTTAACGCTGAGATCCTTTTTCCACAATAAAGGTGAAAAGACTGTACAGTGGATATCAGCGGGGAGTTATTGTTGTTTGTGTTGTTTCAGATCGGGCCAAAGTGACAAAGGGTCTCCCTGATGTGGTGGCCATCATGGAGGGCAAGGTAAGATACACTTTTTACGCTGCTATGGACAGTCTTGCCCTAATGTACATTTCTCAAAGATATTGAAGTGACTGTTATTATATTGATTGTTGTGCTTGTCTTAATGTGTGCATATGTATAAATGTGTCTGTTGATTGTGTATATATATAGGTACATACATATTTGTATACATATTTGTATATATTCGTTTTTGTATTCAGGATTGTGGGAAACTGTATTTCGATATCTCTGTCTGTACACACAAACTGAAAGATTGACAATAAAGTTGACTTTGATATTAGACAGCAGTGATATTATTGTAGCCCTATTGTATGAAGAGTTCATGGTTACAGTTGAATTTCTTTGACTGCTCCTTGTCCTATCTTCAGACTTTGTGTCTCACGTGCTTCATCGACGGTTGTCCGGACCCAGAGATCATCTGGCTTCGTAACGACAAGGAGATTGTGGACCAGGCCCAGTTCACCATCACAAAGGAGCCCAAGTGCAGCACCATCACCATCCACAACGTCACCATGGCAGATTCTGGGAAATACAGCATCTTTGTGCGCAACAACTTTGGCTCTGAAACGGTTGATGTTACTGTGAGCATTTACAAGCATGGGGAGAAGCCTCCAGATCACGCTGTGGAGATGGGTTTTGAACGCAAAAAGAAGTGAGGGATTTAGTTTGAGATTTAGTTTGAGATTTAGAGATTGAGATTAGTGCGAACAGATATACAGGTGGATGGATAGATAGATTATGACATGGAATGATGATTGTTTTTTGTGTTTAAGGAACGTTTATTGAGCATTAAGGAACTTTGTTGTGGTTTTGAAAAAAAATCTCCTAGTCTTTGAACTCCAAATATCTTCTTTATATGAGTTTTATGTTCGTACAGTGCTTTTTTCCCTGGCAAATGTTCAATGTAAGCTTCACTTGGTCAATGGGGTGAAATCAATCACCTTTAGCATGAAGTGTACCAATGTTATAATCCTTAAAACCTTATGTGTGTGTTATCTTGACTTTAGACATTGATATCTGCAGTGGCAGATTTTCACCATCCAGCTGCATTTGATACATCTTTCCCATTTTTTCTTTTGCAATTTGAACTGCACTGACAGACCTAAAAAAATGCCTAACAATGTTTATTTAAATCAAGAACATCGGATCCTGGTAACATACAGATGACACTTTCTTTGTATTATTTAAACTGGAGACAATGTGTGCCATAAAAAGATATACTTTGTGATGGATATTGCAAAATTCTGTTAGTCAAACTCATTTAGTTGAAGTCATGGGTGTTGCATATACAGATTGTTTCTATTTTAAAGTAACTGCAACTTTTGTAAAAAGAAAATGCACTATGTTCCTTTCACAACTGAAAAGCTGAATTCATACTCAGTAAAATGCACAATTAATCATTTCGATACACTCCGAGGATATCCTGCTACAGACTCACTTGGTCTGGTATGCTCATACAGTAGTAACTAATGTTAGGATGTCAGCTAACATTAGTTAATTTGTTAATTAGCAACCCCTATATATTGCTTTATAACTGCTGTCAGAGAGCCAGTTTGCAGACTTCAACTTTACCTGTGCTCCTAGTACAGTACATTTTATTATTCACCAGTATTGGAAATGTTTTTGCTTCCTAAGCACATGTCAAAATGAAAACCGCAACTCTCTGAAGCTAATCAAGCTTTTGGTGAATCATATGTGTGATTTGTTTGTGTGTGTGTTGTGAATAAAGCTTATTCAAGTGACTTTTGCCTGTGTAGTATTTTTATAAACATATAAATATATTTGGTCCTTCTATTCTTAAAGTAAACGTTTAGTCCAATTTATGATGAAGAAAATGTAGAGTGCAGCTTTCTCTGCATATGATTTTACAAGCAGAGATTATTTATTGTACTTTAAGAGCAAACAGTCCGTAGTGTCATTAACCCTCATACTGGGGCTCAGTCAGGTAGACTCATGTTAGGGTTCAACGACACTCTGAGGACAGGTCGCATACAAGTTCATTTAGTGTATTAAATTCATATTTTTTTAAATGTTAACACCACATGCTAACATCTTCAAAATCCATTCTTTGGGAACTTTACATGAATTAATGTAATAAGACAAAACTGCAAAGTATGGTGCACATGGGAAAATCTGTGCATATTTCTTATAAAGGAAGCTTTTTAACACACGTGACAAAACTGACCATCTAACTATATCTTTGGTAAAAGCTGAGTTTGGTCCAAACAGGAGTAAGTGAACTCCAGGTTGTTCAAACAGCAGTGATTACTACAGAGGAGGTTGTTACTCATTAGACAGGGCAGAGCGTTCTGTATAAGAAGGTGGATGACTCAAGTCACATCCTCCACATTGTGTTAAGATTCACACAGTTGTCTTCAGCCTCCAGCCCAGTAGGATCTTCTAGAAATCATGGACTTCAATGGAACATGGCAGGTGTACGCCCAGGAGAACTACGAGGCGTTCCTCAGGGCCTTGGGTGAGAAAATAAAGAATCAAGAAGGGTTGTTTGCTTATAAAGTATAACAACATATTTATAAGGGGTAAACGAGACAGAGTGCCTATTTAAATGCTGTTACAACTTCCACATGCTTAATTGAACCATACAGAACACACATTCTGATTCTGATTCCAAAGACTCATCAGTTCTTCATTTTAGGTTGTGCAGGATTTAACAAAACACATCTTTTGCTTTGCTTTCCAGATCTCTCAGAAGATGTTATCAAGATGGCCAAGGACATCAAGCCAGTCACTGAGATCAAACAAACTGGTAATGACTTTGTTGTCACCTCCAAGACCCCTGGGAAGTCTGTGACCAACTCCTTTACCATCGGCAAGGAGGCTGATATCAACACCATGGACGGCAGGAAGCTCAAGGTTTGTAGTTCTTGTTTTCTTTTTCATTTCTAAGGTGCTTATGTATATTATTTCTAATTTGGGACAGCATATTTGTGTTTACAGCAGAAATATCAGTGTATATTTATCTTAAAGTGTGCTGTGATTAAGTGTACAAGTGTATTCTTTGGGGAGGTTTGTGATATGTATTGTCTCCTCCTGTGACCCACAGTGCACTGTCAAGATGGAGGGAAGCAAAATGGTCTGCAACATGGGCAAGTCCTTGCACATCTCAGAGCTCCAAGGAGGAGAGTTGATTGAGGTATGCCTATATTACCAGAACTCACCTTTTTCTGATTCACCTTAAATATCATAAGCTTCAATAATGTAATGAATCTCTTAGCCTCTAACTAAATATGTTAATTCTCCCTTATCCAATTTCAGACTCTGACCATGGGCTCAACAACTCTCATCAGGAAGAGCAAAAAGATGTAAACCTTGCAGTGAATAAACACATGTCTATTTAAATAAAATTGTTGCTTAATAATTGTGGTTTGCATCGTCTTGTTTGAGAAAATGTCTCTCTTTGAAAAGGCTTATCCCAACATTCAGTGTTGTAAAGTTACTAAGTAGATTCTGAGGTAATTGTACTTTACTTGGGCATTTTTTTTGCTACTTTGTCATTCTTCTCCACTGCAATTCAGAGATTAATCGTGTAATGTTACTCCACTACATTTATTAAATACCTTTAGTTACTTTGCAGATTTGGATGAATGATGTGAAATATAATCAACACTTAAATAAGGCTTTGGTTACACCTGGAGTAATATTCACTATCTCCACTGCAGTATACCAAGTTATTAAAACATGCTCCACCTTTACCAACTTTGATCAAACTTGAATGCATCAATAATTATAAGCAAATCACATGATATATATTATTCTGGAATGGGCCACTCTACCTAATTAGTACTTTTAGATTCTGTACTTTGAGGAGATTTTGATACCAATGCTTTTCTTTTATATTCAAGCAAAATGTTGACTTTTACAAGCAATACAGTATTCTTAAACTATTTGCATTTGCGTTTACAGTACTTGATCTGAGTACTTTTTTCCACCTCAACATCCTGGATGTGGGTTTGTTTGGTGCGCATGTGTCTTCGTGGCTTTACGCATGCGCAGTACGAAGGGAACGCTTTGACCACGTAGTTAGTGTAGCCTGCAGTAAAGCATACGGATTTATGAATAAAAAGCTGTAGTAAACTAATTCCCGGCTGCCAAATTAAAGCAACGGACCTTTACAAACATGGCGAGGTACCTGAGACCGCCTAACACTTCTCTCTTCTAATAATTTCATGGAAACCCCAGCAGGTTTTTTTTTTTTGGACTTGTAATGTGGGATGCTATAGGTTAATAAAGATGTTACAGTTTGGCGTTGCCAATAATATTTTTGTACTTTGGGTTACCCAATGTTTATGTTCATACATGTGTTAATATGCATAGCCTTGTCTCCATGTGGCGTGTTAGAATAAATAAAGATACAACTTCAGACCCAGCTTACCAGTATTTACCAAATATGTTGTTCCCGCTATTATACAGCAGGAAAGCTGTATACTGTAGTAGCTGTGATGAGTGTTGCAATGGATGCTACCTTGTGCTATTACCTAGAACTTAGTTTGAACAAGATGTACCGTCAGTTGAATTGTTCAAGTGTTCCTTATACGGCTATCCTAGTTTACTTGGTATAATTTGTCAATAAACTGTCAATGGAGAATCTGTTTTTTTTTTTTTTTAAAGGAACTCTTTACGAATTTAAAGCAGGGGTGTCCAAACTACGGCCCGCCGGCCATTTTGAATCGGCCCTCAGCAGATTCAAAAAGTATAATGAAATATGGCCCACAAAGGAAACGTGTGCTTAAATGTAAACATTACAGTTTTCATGAGTAAATAAGCTAATTTTTCTTTAAGTTCAGTCAATTAAAGTTGAAATTAGATTTTTTTTAAATCTAAATTGATAAGAAAAAAGCCCAATAACTTATTTGTTGCTTGAAATATACCCTTCCTATTATAAGCAATCTGAAGCTCCCGTTTTAAAGAATGAGCTGCTAACAAAATGAATGAAACCCTATGGAGAGCTGTGAGGTAGGCTGCCGTTTATCTTAAAGCATATTCAAGTAACAAGCATAATCTACATACATTTGATGGATTTAGAACATCATTTATGAGGCAGAATACCTCTAGTGAGTGGCCCAGCCCTTCGTATTTGTTCTGTATGTGGCCCTCGGTGAAAAAAGTTTGGACACTCCCGATTGAAAGTAGAGAGGGTTCCTTGAGCAAAGGTCTATTGTACAACACACCCTAGACACAAGTGTTCACTCCAAAGAAAAATATTCAAACACAGACAGATGTAGGGGGGAAGGGAAAGGGATTTATTTCTTCTTTTTTGTAACATTTGTTTTCAATTCACAGAGTGCATTAGTTTGCTTTTTCAAACACTAATTCATGCCAATTTTAAACGGGGCATTTTTCTTTTCCATATTCAGTGACATTTCAAAGGGGACAAATTAACAGCCAATTCAATATTTTCACATTTAGAATGAGGAGACTGCCATGCACAACTCAATCAGGGCAAGAAATTAAACATTTACATGAACAACCAATATAAAGTACAACTTAAACATTATGGGGCCACGTTCAGTTGTCAGCTGGCGGAAGAGCAGCGGAGAACTGAAGATGGTTCAGAATTCAAAATGTTGATAACATGACTTTTACAAGCAATACAGTATTCTTAAACTATTTGCATGAGTACTTTTTGTTGTACTTATAGTATATGTTGATGCCAAAACTTCTTCTACTTTTAATTTGATTGCAGGACTTTTACTCGTAACAGAGTATTCCTACACTAAGGTATTTCTACGTTTACAGTACTTGATCTGAGTACTTTTTTCCACCTCAACATCCTGGATGTGGGTTTGTTTGGTGCGCATGTGTCTTCGTGGCTTTACGCATGCGCAGTACGAAGGGAACGCTTTGACCACGTAGTTAGTGTAGCCTGCAGTAAAGCATACGGATTTATGAATAAAAAGCTGTAGTAAACTAATTCCCGGCTGCCAAATTAAAGCAACGGACCTTTACAAACATGGCGAGGTACCTGAGACCGCCTAACACTTCTCTCTTCGTCAGAAACATCGCCGATGACTCCAGGTATGTTGTTATTTGTTCAGCCTACGGTATGCACGCATGGACCAGCAGCTAACGTAATGCTGGTTAGGGTGGAAACATGACCAAAAATGGCTATCTGACGTTGGGGGGGGGTCGCAAATCAACAATGGACAAAACATGTGTTTTTCCTGGGTTTTGCTAACACATGCTAATACATGCTAATATCAAAGACTGTGATGTTGCAAGTGACGTAAATGGCACTCCCCCTAAGAAGCACGTAGGCCTAGCTATTTATACTATGGACATGCATTAATAATGTAGCATGACTACACACCGTGTCTGTGCTGTGAAGCCCGTGACGTGTGTGTTAAACAGCGGGTCTATTTTTATTTCACCCACCAGCTTTAACCTCTTTTCAAATGTACGCCCCCAGTGCTGTCAGCAGGGAGAGCAGCAGCAGAAAATAGACCTGAGACAGAGACCAATAACATGTCCATCTTAGGTTACTGAGCATTTTAAATGTGGAATATGTAACAAAGAGAAGGGGTAATACTACATAATGCCTTTGTTGTTTGTTTGTTTGTTTGTTTGTTTGTTATCTGAGATTTTCCCTTAACAATGTTTATAACCTGTTATTTTGATTAAAAACGGCAAACACTGTCACACTTGTATAATTGTGACAGTGTCTAGATTAAGTGGTGTAGGGCTTAAACAAATGTTATTTTTAATTATAAATGTA